CGCCTGAAACGGATACGCCTCCATTAGGCTATAGGCTGATGCGCTGGGTAGTTCCGTAATGTCAAGATGGTACTCTAATGCAGTCAGTCTGTTCACAGTTACTACCCTCCGCCTCTTAATAGGCGCATGTGGTGGCCGATGTTCGGGTCAATTGCATACGCCCAGACGCCTCTAAACAAGGGATAACGGGAACAAATTAGTATGGTCTTCGTTCTTTTCATTAGCGTTCCTTCTGCCTCTTCAAGGGGCAGCTTTCACAGGGTTGTAGCAGCTAGTGTTCGCTCCCGTTGTATGAGCCTCTTGAGGGCGAACTTCACTCTCTACACATCGCCCGTATACTAATGGACATAATTACTAGTGTTTTCAGATTCCCAGCCAGTTTTTCAGGAATGTAGCCTCTGCATAGAGGGGGTTGACGTCTCGAGGGGAGAGGAAGCATCCAGTTAGGTTATGTTGGGTAGTTCTATTCATCAGCCCAGAGATTGGTGAGAAATATCATTATCGGACGAAACTTGGGTTGTAGCTCTGATTCACCTTGGGACGAAAGGTTATGCATCATTCCCCTCGTCGTCCCCATATGATGGATGACAGCCCCTGACATCATAACCTTTAGATTGTGGGCAAACTTAATCTCAGGTAAAACGACCCAATGCTTCACTATGAAAAATGATGAAAGCACGCTTTCATCTCTGCAGACGGAACTGACTCGGCCAAAATTGGGAATTGAAGTGAAGCTAGACAGTTCTTGGAAATCGTAGAAGGTTAAAGTTTGAAAATAAGGTCTAGAGTACGGCGGGAATCAATCGCTGAATGAAACTTTGCGTGTCACTTCACTTGAGTCCAACAGAACATGACGCGGGCGGTTGCGTTGCGTGCTCACTGCTGGGCTCACGACGAAGCATAATCGCCTTCCACAAAGATCGACAGCGAGATAACCGATAATAAATAATAATGTCCATCCCCTGTCATACCTGACGACATTTTGCTTCTACCTTCGCTCCTGACTCTTTCTAATCTATCTGTTGCTGTGAGGTATTCAATGGATACTTGTAGGCTAGGCTAGGGACTGGATTTACGTTCCCATAGCGAATCACTAACTACATTACACACCCAAATCTACTGATGTGGCTCAGATTCGTCGGATTGGCCAGTCTGATTTGATTCATTTGAATAATTGGTAATTGTAGGTGGCGAAGGTTGCCATTATGTGGCTAATGAAAACAATCTGTGGCGAAGGTTGCCATTATGTGGCTAATGAAAACAATCTGATTATTTCCAGTCTGTCTGGAATTCTTCTACTCGCCCTGGCAACTAGTATAGTTGATAGGCCTTTCCATTGGGCTTGGAAAAAAGTACAAGTACAAGCTAGCCTTCATTTCTACTACCCTAGGAAGGTTGGAAACAATAGGACTGGTGTAGTGAATAGATGGACTCGCCCATTGTTTTATAGAGAATGTCCCCCTGAAACAGCTCTCATATAAAAGGCAAGCTATAGAAGCATGCAAAATGGAGTTCGTACGTGCAGTTGGATACCGTTGTAGGGACCATTTCCGAATTCAGACACTTCATGGATATAGGTTGCCAAAGGAGCCTATAAGTGGCCATCGATAGGTCACGTTCATGTCTGTCACTTGTCTAGGGAGTTTTTCCTTCGAAAGCATTCGGTTTGACTGACTGGCAAGGTGGACGTAAGGTTCGGTCTTGTCCACCACAATCCAACACCTTCATGTAACCGTCATGGATCCAAACGGCCGTCAGTCTATAAGACCACTGCTTAAATCTGATGAGATCCCAACCTTGACGGTTGTCGAACAATAATGAGTGCATGGAGCAACCCATAAGTAAATTGCAGCACTTGTTCATGAGAGAATACTTAAGTAGAAGTTGTCGGTAGAAATTGAAAAAATGGAATTGCAATCATTTTCTTATTACCAAAAGCCGCCATTTGAAAATATCTGGGAGCAATAAAGGCCATCAGAGTCGGTTTATTGATTAAACAGTCGAAAAAATCAATATTTATGCTTCAGATGTTCAAACATGAGACCTTCCCTGGTAATAGATAATTTTGGCTAATACTCCTTTCCTCTAGATAATTTTTGATAATTCGTTTTTCCTCAGTCCTGAAAAATGACTCATTCCTCATGACTGAGTACCACCACATAAGTACTCGGGTTATGTGAAATGTCTTAACATATGGGGGATTCTTTATTTCTCGTCTGTTTTGTAGATGGGTTCAGAATAAAATAATATTTTTCCCAAATTTTCTTCTATAATTTTACTTCCCTCATATGAATTTTCAACTTAAAATGAAGTTTTCAGATCCAATCCAGTGTCGATTGTGTGGCTGCTCACTTTTGTCTGATCGAATCGTCAGAAACCACTGAATCAGCCACTTTGCTTCGCTCGCTGGCTGGCCAACTGACAAAACGTTTCCCAAACCTTGTCCTGCCTAAGCTTTCTACGCTCACTCTACTAGCCGACTATGACAATGCTTTGGAGCAATACTTCACCCTGCCATTGGCATCACTGCCTCGTCCAACCAAACCACTGTTTATTCTTATCGACAACATTCTGCCACATATCTATGATCTAGTATTAGCGGTAAGTCGATATTGTTACTTGTGGCTTTTACGTGGGTACTTCTGAGGATTGTTGTTGTGAAAGAGCTGAGATTGGTGTTGTTTTCGAGCGCCTCTCACTTATGAAGAGCCTTTGTTCCGGTCCACAAGAGCGCATTGAAGCAGCTCTGGCTCAGCTCAATGTCACAGCGATACGGTTTGTTGAGTAAACAGGACAAGATAGCTCTCGGATTTCAGTAAGGGCCTCTACTCGCACCCTTCCCAATACAATTTATTGACCATGTCCTATAAAGTGAAAATACAATTCGTAACTGAAGCCATCTAACTTCTATGGTGTCCATAGGGTATGATTGTTTACTATTTGTTTATTCGCAAGTGCGCTTAGTGCATGACAAAAGTAAACATAGTGAATACATCCATAACTTTTTTCAAAACCGTCACCATGAAGGATGAAGTCGTTTGGCATCGATCAGCTCGTTTGTGAGAGGCAAACCTGGGTTCTGATCGCAAAGACCCAAAACCCACATCCCAAAAACGAGATTCAACGGCAAACACGTTGTCCTTTTATTACTTTATTCATATTTATGCGCCCGATCCGACCACCCAATCACATAAATAGAGAGCGATTATAAACAAAAACAACATTGTTGTTCGAAGGAAACGCGGCAGTAATACTGGTTGTGGTTAAGGTGAAGAGCTGGGTTACTTCAAGCAGTCTTAATTTTTATTACCAGTATGGATTCTGTCAATAACCCTGATGGATCCCTGACCATTTACTGCTCGGGATCTGGGCTGGGACTCATAGAAAAGCTTTTGTTTTTGGTCCTTCTGGCAGTTTCGCAATTGTACAATAGTTTGATGGTGTTGTTCTGTATACACTTAGCATCTATTGAATAAATAAAAACTTTAAATTTTTTGAGAAAACATCAAAAACAAAAAAACCACTTAAATGAACAACAAAACAATAACAATAAAAAAATAATTAAATAAATCATAAACTAAATTTAAATAAATGAAATGAACTGTCAATACGTTAAGGGTCGAGGGAGGGTGTGGTGCAGTAGGAACGAAATTGTCGCTTGCGGCGAGAGAGACATCGCGCGCGAAGGAATGTAGTAGAGTGTAGCAGCAAATAAGAAATACAGGAACAAAAGAACTAACAGTAGGATCATGCCATAAGTAATAATCGCATAGCGATTGAGCTGTATGAAGAACGCTAGAACTGTTATAACGAAACAAATGGTCCGCGACAGCCGCGTGCGGCGGATCGATTACACAAAACCGTTCCTACTGCTCGTTTCCCGTCGAGGTAGGGCAAGCCTATTCCTAGAACAATAGACAACTTTCCATTGCGACAAAATAGTAAAAGAAGTCCAGCAGACTTTTTCCCTAGCATTCCATCAACGGCAATTTTCCTCCAAGATAGAAGATTATCCCACGCGTTCACCGTTCTCTTTGAGGTGACCGCCGGATTTTCTATGTGTTCTAATTGCGCTAATCCAAAGGCGGTATCCTACTGAGAGGCTGGCTGGTTGGCTATTAAAGAACGACGACGTTTACGACGATCACATTTGCTCGGTGATATACAGCAATGGACGTAAGCATTAGGGTTAATTGGACTGGGTGCTGATCGCACAGGGCTAAGTGATTTTGGTGTATGGGAAGGGAGATGGAGTATTCGATTTGTATTTGCTGCTGTTGTATTTATGTAGTGGTTCCGAAGGAACACAAAGGTATGGGCTGTCCTCATTGAGTCATCAAATACTGCACTTTTTATTTGTTTATTTTTATTTATTTAATATCATCCTCAGGATGATAGAATGGTCTGAGAAATTTGTTTCAAATCTAAGACTACGGAAAAACATCGAACCTACCTTCTACTTATCTTCTTCACCTAAGAATTGCTTGAGATGGGAATAGTAAAGCGGGAGTTTCTCATAAATTGTTTTTTTTTNTTTTTTTTTCTTCCAAAAATACCTCAAAGGGTTCAAAATTCCATAGGTATCAACTGATTTTGCTCGGGAAGAACGACCACAGATGCCTATTCCAGATTAATCGCTGCCTTCCATCATGGATGCGACTCGCGGTCACGTCAAGACCATTGGCTCCATCTGATCAGTACAAATTCGAGAGATTCCATGACCTTGTGCTGAGTGAATGTAAGCTTATTCTCTCAACTGAATCCTCCGCCTACATCTTGATTTAAAATAAGCTAAACATGATTTAAATTTTCAAAATTGGTGTTCATTCGGACTGACCGCTGTTTGTTAGGTATTGACGAATTGGATCGCTTCATTGAAGTTCGCCTACCTCAATGTCTCCACTGCGAAGTCCTGGATGCCTGTGATGTAAGTCAACAGTTCAAACTTCTCACAATAATTTTTTGATTTTCAGTCTCCAATTATTATTTTATCATTTTTTAATTTTTTTACAATAATTTTGAAATTTTATTTTTCTCCTGAGCGTTCCTGATCACTTCAAATCTATTTATTATTTAGGATCTGTATAGTCTGTATAGGGAGTCTAACAGTAAGAGGGAAGGGAAGTCGCAGGAGAAAAAGGAAGGCGAGGGGGGGTTGGGATTAGATGAACACCGAAGCTCAGGACAGGGTACAATACTGGATGACTCAAGTAACTAGTTACTCGAGTTTGCGTCATGCCTAGATACAGCTGGCGTATTCTTTCTGGGTGAGGTGTAGGGGCGAATTGCTCCCGGACAGCAGAATTCCCCTTTTCGGTCTAATATGAAAAATTCGAAAAATAAACCCGTCAGTTGGTTTGAGGGTCCATGACAAGCTTTTGATTTCTGTCCTAACCCTCCATATGCACACTGCTTTTGGAGCTCCAGCTGACATACACCCTCATTATTTCATTATTTACAAAAATATTGTTATATGGATAAACACTACTCAATTTAAGAGTTCCTGGTTTTTCGTTGATCAAATGGCTCGTGCCGTCGATGCTGGAATTGTCCCCCCTGATCGTGTGTCATGTAGCGTGAAGGACCTGATGGACGACATCTGCCTCGCTCTACCTCAACGACTGCCAATTTACCTTTTGTTGATTAAAGTACGTTTTATTGAGCATGACCAATTGTTTTCCGCTAGGCAGACTCACTTCGAAAATACCTGGCTTTTCATTCGGTACCAATTTTCTAGCTGGTTTCGATTTTTCCTTGGTAAACTGGCCAATATCAGAGGGGTTCTTCGGTCATTCCGATAATTTTTCACGGTTCCGGTTCAGTTGTCTAGGATCTGGTGATTCCTTCAATCGATCCCATCCCGCACCCTATTTCATGGCTCCTTCTCAGTGCTTTTTGCGTTTTTTAGCCATGAAGCATATGTATAGAGAAGAATGTTGAATCTTCGAATTAAATGTATTATTTGGTCAAAAATAAATTTTTTGCAAAGTTTTTTTTTTCATTTAGGCCTCTCGGCAACCGCCGCCGTTGAGTTTTTTCTATGCTGTCGCTCAGCTGGTCGTTCGAGAAAGTGTGCAGATGATTGAACGTGAAATTCACGCTATAAGCATCGTTCTTCAGAGTACAGGTATTTTTCGACACTATTTAGGCTATAACCAGGTGGATGATTTGTCTTTTACAGTAATTTTCTGTATAAATTAATTGTTTCCTTCCTTTTTTTACGAGAAGCATTAAACGTGATTGCTGCATTCCATTTTCATCATTGTAATTCCCATTTCAAGCTGCACATTTATATTTATTACTTAGTTATATTTAATTTATATATTATCAATTTATATTAAATTATCACCGAATATTACCACATAATACCACGTACTATATTACACTATCACATATTATAGCATATAATTTCATATTACATTATATTATCTCAAACTGTACTATATCATATAATACTTTGTTGTATTATATGATATTATAGTATCGAGTGTTATATTATTAACACCATATTAACTTATTTTTTACCTGATTTTATTTTCTATTGATTTTTTGTTTACATTACACCGTTTATGTCAGATTGTCATATCGCCTTATACTAGATGATAATATGTGATATGTGTTTCAGATCCTTTAATGGTGTGTGGGCCCTGGGCGGAAATCGATGGTGATCTCGCACTGTATCATACAGCATGGGCAGAATTCTATAAGACGAAACGACGTAAGACGCCACAAGACGTCGTCGAGCTTGCTTATCACCTTGCCCATTCAAGTAAGACCTAATGCAATGTCGTAATCAATTTTCAACTTCCTTAATCCAAAATAAATTAATCAAACAAAAATATAATGTATGAGGAAGTAAAATTCGCACCAAAAAATATGGGAAAATCGGTGATTCGTAGGAGTTTTGCTCGGGAGATAAGATTGATCACAAGCCTCTACTTTCCTGTGCTTTTCCTGTATTTCCGTTGATTTGTGATTTTATCAAAACTCAAGTTGGCAGCATGTCACGCCCTACTGTCATGAGTGACGCGTTCACAATTGGATGAGTCAAGAGGGCGATAATTAAGAGGTCAATCTGGCGGAATGTGTCAGTCGAACGCCGACATTATCGTCCAAAAGGATCTATTACGTCGGCAAATGCCCATTATCGTTAGCAGATTGCTGAGAAAACGTTGGGGATCTTCTGTGTAAACTTAGTAGTAGTAGTAGAGTAGAGCTATTTGACTCAAATCCTAGACAGAGTTGGACCCTTATAAAGGATTCGTTACTATTTAGTCAAAATTAAGCTCCATCTGACCTTATTTAAATTGTCCTTTTGAAGTGAATCTCAATTTTTGACGTGTTTTGAGTAAAACTCTAAAGATCATGTCTAAACAGTAATTGATGGGGATTTTCTGACACTTCTAACTACACCCGTGCTTGCCGCTTCCAGCGTTTCCCACTCATGCTTTCAGACGATTAGGTTTCTCTGACTTGGAAAAAGGAAACTGACTAAAAACTATGGATTATTTTTGAAGTTCAACCATATATTTTTTCCACCAAAGATTTTGGGCTAGTCCGCATACCATTTCTTTTCAAATTTTACAAGAAATTCTTTTTATCAAACCGTTAAAGTTGTAAAAGTAACGTATGCTTACACATCGTTCACGGCCGCTGAACTCTGCACTCTCACTGGCCTGGTCGGTCCGGGGCGTGAGTCTCCACTGCCGTTGTCGTTGGGGCCGAAACTGGGGCCGCCAATGTGGCGTTCTTTAGCTCTTTAAGTTCCTCTTCTGGTACAGAGGCACCTAGCCGGCGAGTGAAGGGAGATGTTGCAAGGAGCCTAGTTTTGGAGTGATGACCTGGTCTGCAAGCAGTAACCTATCTCCCCAGCTTTCTATTTTTTCTATTGAGTTGCTGGTTTGAGAGTAGGTGTAGGCACCTATCTACTCACATTTTGAATTGAGTCGTCCACACGCAAAATCTTTTACAATTTTCAAATAGATTGAATTGATTGAGGATCTAGGAGTAAGAAAAATAGCTTCATCTTTAGAAGAGTAAACTTTATTCAACTCAGTTCAAATCCTATCTTTTCAAAGTTTTTCTTTTAGCGGTCCCTCCTTTGGATGCAATCCGTACCCTGTCTTCCGTTGGTGCTGGTGATCTTATTCTGAAATGTGCAGTCATCGATATTCCCACCTCCGTGCTCTTGTCGAAGGCTGGTGCTTTGCAACAGGAAATATCCTTGATTGTGAGTTTCCTAGACTTTGTCGGGGGGTCCATTAGTTGTACTACCCTGTGGCCTTGCCTTTTCTCATGGAGGTTCCCTAATCCGCAAATTAGAAATGCGAGACGTCATTAGGCGCACATAATTCGCTCAATTCGCCCAAAGACGTCTTAGTCTCAGCCAATGCAAATTCGTCACTTGGGACGAAGGACCTATTGAGGTATAACAAATAGACCTGAGGCTATATGGGGACAGGAGCAACGTCATTGCTAGATGGATATTAGCTGTCATATCGTTTGAGGAACTGCCAACCATTAGTGCTCAGTGTGTGTGAAAAATGATCTCTTTTGCTGTTTTGCCCCAAATTCGCAGGCGCTCGCAAGCAAATTGTGCCCACAAGGTTCCCGTGGATGTTGAGGGACGTTTGCAGGTTCAAAACAGATTTTCAATTAAAAAACTTCTTCAAAATTCTAGGGCAAGTAACAAATGAATTGGAACCTCGGTAAAGGACTTAAAGATTTCGCTTCGTAGAGGGAAGTTCTGTTTGGCGACACTGTTGAGAGCCAAAAATCAACAGCAAGCAAGTCATTATTCAGGAATATTGCCCAGTAAAAAGCCTTAGGCTTGGAACGTATTCACCCACACATTGCTAAGGTCCCCCTTGCTATCATTTTAGTTATAACTCTCCATTTGTAAACTAGTCGAACATAGATTCCAATCAAAGTGACGAGTATACTACAGCGAGCGTCAGCTTCTTACATCGGGAGTCTCTTCTTCCCGACTTCCATGAAAGCGAACTGAACTGAAAAAAACAGATATACATTAAAATTCTGAATTCCTTGTGAGAGGGACACCCTCCTAATCCCAAGTCCCATCCTCTTAACAGTCAATTCACTTGTGGTACAGAAATGACCTCTGGGTAGTCAAACGTAGTATTTACATAGTAAGTACTTTTTAAAACTTTTAATTGATAGCATGTACCCAATGGGAAGTACATTCTCCCACGCGATTGAGCCACCCGCTTATCTGAAGTTTTGCAAAAATTATGGGGCAATCTTTTATCTTCGAATTATTACAGAAAACACCCGAATTCGTTCGAAAAACTCCTTGATTAGATTTTAGAGCAGTTCAATGTCGTCACAGATATGCTCTACAAAATAAGCGGTAAATGGGAATCAGAAAAGTTTCGAATATGTGGTCGTGTTTAGGCACTGGCTTCATTTCTGCCAAAGCGTATCCCGAGTTAGACATACAGTAAAGGCGATAGAAACCACTCACGATTGTCTGAAAGCTGTGCTTGCTACAAGGAACTGAAATAGTGCGAGATAATTTTATTTTATCGTTTTTACTGGGAAAATATTTTCAGGACGATTTCATATACTTGTGTTGTACGGGTGACCTGGAAAAAGTGACAAAACAAATGACGTGTCAATCGGATCCGGTACGAAAGTTATTCTTTTTAAATCAACTTTTCGGATTCATTCGGCTATTTAATAAACGCTCACTTATATTCGATACCCCTTTTAAGCTGGGCTAATATTAGGATGGTGGGAGATTCGCTTCAGTGGGAGCATGTATTAGTTCAAGCCCGTATACAAACCCTTTCTTGAGCGCCCATACACGCATTCAGCTATCTTAACGAACAAAAGAAAGCAGTAGCTAAGTAAGCATAGAAAACCCAACATTTATTTGATGATACTGAACCTTATTGAAGGCAAGCAACTCCAGAACCTTATCACATTTCTTACGGCTGGTAGTGGTTAGAAGTGAGAAAAAAGTCCCACGAATTTTATTCATGGTTTCTTATGCAGAAATGATTTTGAGTTATAATAGAAACTGAGTGTGAAGTAGATTTGAATTATCGTTCAGCCCGAGATAGATCAACGAAGCCTATGTAATCTTAACCTGGATCCAAAATCCAAATTCGAACAATCAGTGACTATCAAAAAAATTGCAGAGTCAATCCCAAATCGAATTTCTACGATCAAGCTCTTCTCATTAAATCATTTTCCAGGATCTGTTGCTCGGCTTGTTAGCAGCATCATCTCAAGGTCAATTGCAGATATGCAAGACGTTACTTCAGTATCGACCCCAGGTACTCAATTTTTTAGGTTTTCCAAGTTTAGTCGTTGGCATATCTAGCCTAGTACAAGTTTTATTCACCATCATCCATAACACAGCATTCATTGCAGCCACATGGCGCTCATGCCTATAGTTCAACGATCTATGCCAAAGTAGTGTACAAGGGGATGGTTGCGGGCCCAGAAATGGCAACGGGGAAAATATGGGGTCAGATTCACTATTGAGAGCCGTACCACTGATTTGTTTGAATTTAGATCTCGAATCATGTCTGTAATGGGCAATGGAATGCATTACGAAGTGCTGCCTGTAACAATCACTTGGACGTGTTGAATCTGCTGATTGGTTTGTTTTTAACTGATTATTTATTTGTTTACTTGTTCCTCATACGGTTTTTCTAAAGCTGCCAATCGAAGTTTATGTAGAAATGAACATGAGTTGAGTGAAAAATAGAGTATAAAATGGGCCCCGTGCTTATTCAGGCATTGTTTGCTTGATGCATCAATAAATAAATCAGGTAAACAACAAAAATGAGCCGTCACTTCTGAGTAAAGACTATATCATTCACTCTGAATACAGTGGCAGGCCCATATAACCAATCTATTGTCTCCAACTGCTCTCATCCCAATCTCAACAAGTGCTGTTGCCTTAAATCATGGCTCTTGATCGTGTCATTAGTGCTGTTTAGTATTCAATTTACTGCTGACATATTGCCAAATAATTGTTGTCTAATGGACACGGCAACCATCTGGATCGGCTCTCGTGCTCTCAGCAGCAACACAGCTAATCCACACCCCATACGTGCTCTTACGACCGGAGATTAATGGTCATCTAAATATTTATTGATTCGCTGATAGGCTGAGCCTATCAACTGGACCGCACTGGTTCAGGGACCATAATATCCGCTCCCAAGTCCTAATGGACAACAGCAATTAAGCTAGGAAGGATGGAGCCGTTCACATCCAAGAAGTTGCCTGTATCGTTGAAAATTTCGATTTAGAAAAGAATTTGAGAACAACGCAGATTGAACTCGAAGGCCAAGCCACCCATAGTGGGGCCCGTGCGTCTGTGGTAATGGGCCATTGGTCCCTGGACCAAAGTCGCCTCAAAATTTAGCATAAAATGGGGTTCGCGTCTGAAGTCAATAAAAGTATAAAAATTTGGATCGAGAATGACAGAAATCGTTCATACTGTTGCTTTTCAGACAGCGGCGTTAACGTTGATGAAGTTGGTAGCGGAGAACGAACGGCACTTCGTGGAGCAGCATGGTAAGGATGATGTTGAAATTTTTTGAGTTACATTAACTTTAAGAGTTGTTACCCCGATTTTAGAGTTATTTTGAGTGATTTCATTTCGATAACATCATTTGACGTTTTGTTCCGCTATGATAAGAGAGCGTTCTTCAAGGGCTGGTCATCGTGACATCGTCAGTCGCCTTCTGAAAGCACATGCTTGTGTCGATCGGAAAGATTCAGAAGACCGTACTGCTCTCATGGCTGCTGCTTTTATGGATCACTGGGAGATTGTAGATTTGTTGCTTGATCACGGGGCCAAAATCTCTGTGAGTTTTCTCGAAGTGTAGGTGTTTTTGTAAAGTTTCAGCGAAAACGGTATAACTTTTTATTTGAATTACGTTTCGGCCTGGTCGCATTCGCCAGTGTTTTAAAACCAAAAATGTTTGAATAATATTAATATGCAGCTCAGCCTGGACCAAAAACTTGTCTGAAATGCCCAATCACATGTGTTTGGAAGCTGAAATTCCTGCCACCGGGCATTGATAACACCGTATTGCAGGAAACCGACTCTGCTGGAGCTACAGCACTACATTTGGCCCTTTCAAATGGTTCCAAGACAGAAGCCCACGATAAGACTGTCCAGACGTTGATACGAAGTGAGTCATCAATTCAGCTCGATAATTAAAAGCTAGACAGCAACGTACGCCTCTTTGAGGCAACAAAATGGAAAAAAATATGGCCCTTCAATTATTTTACATTATTTCCTAGCCACTGACTTGGGATGTAACTACTTTGATTGAATCTTAGTTGGAAAGGTCGTATATGGCTGGGTAAATAAGCAAGCTAGCCAGCTTGAGAGGTGTTTGTACAGTCACTGTTAAGTTACTGGATCAATCGTGTAAGGAACTTTAGTTACAACAATCGTGCTCTGTTGAGAATGGTGCGACAGAGCACGGAGGTAGTCAGACACGTCCTTTTTCGGGCGCATTGACCGGCAGTGGCTGTCGGATCCGGTTTTTGGGCCTTTTCGTGCACGGTCTAGACCGCTTTTCAACCTGACAATGTCCTATGTATGTGGGCCCTAATTCCTACCTATAGGAAATATTTGAAACTATTTTAACTAATATTAAGTTTTTGAGCACCGGCTCAGTGGGAGTCTACGATCACTTGAAAGTCGATCACAAAGTGTTGTCAACAATACGGTTTATACAACTTCATTATGGACGTTAATTGACTGTAATAACTTAAGGAGGAAGCGATTTGACATTGGCTGATGCTCATGGACGGGTTTGTATCCACCTAGCTGCTTATCATGGTGACCGGAATTTGAAGGCCTTGATAGGTGCAACTTGTACTGATGTGCAGGTAAGTGTTTTGGAGTGAATCTGTGACCCTCTACATACCGTTAGGTGATGTACAAGTTTGAGAGTGATTTCTTCTATATTAGGATTCCCTCGGACGGACTCCATTGATGCTCGCTGCAAGTCAAGGCCAGTTGGAAGCTGTGGACTTATTAACAAAAAGTGGTAAGTCTCCTGGTTCAGAGTCGTCAGAAGTTCTCCCTGAACACAGTTTAGAACACAGCTTTTGCCGTAGTGCTGGGGTAACCACTTCCCAGAGGATTGTCTCCGGGATTGTTTTTGCCATGGGAAGATTGGCCTCGGTTGTTTTTCAATTTTCGTGCTCTGACGTAAGCGAAGAGGCCAAAACATCGACCCAATAAAGTGCTGGATAATCTTTGGGGCACTTCATGCAAAACAAGTCCGTCTGACTCGTATGCCAAGATAAAGAGAAAGCCAATCATGTGCTTACTGCCTTTTTACTAAAAGTTATGCCATCGAAAATATGTGATTTTCCGGGTTCCGATCGTATTCCCTTGAAATCAGTTCAGCCAATAATCATCCCGAAGCAGCACTTTCTACCTCCAATTTTCAGGTGCATATATCGATTGCATCGATTCGGATGGCCGGACGGCATTTCAGCTGGCAGCTATCCACGGCCATCTACCTGTCGTTGATATGCTTCTCGGACTTGGCGCTGACGAAGCTCATAAGGTATGTACTCGTCTTTTTTCGGTTTTGCCATTGACACACCGTCCAGCAAGGGAAAATCCTTGGGTTCTCTGGGTATGGATTAGATCCCGACGCCTTCTCTCGTATGCTAGTTGCCACTGGCCACTGCAAAAAATAATGGTTGCACTCAGCAAGTTTCGGCTGGCTCTTTTCGGGTTACCCCTCCTTTTTTTGCCGCTGACCAACTTCCCAGGAGCCATATTATATGGCTCGGGATCGAAATTGGTCACTAACGGACACTAATGGATGTACCCTATTCATCAGAATGCCTCTTCTTCCGCTGGTTCAGCTTAAGGGCTTTACGAACTGACTGGGCTGAAAGAATAATTGTTAGGGATAGGATAAGCATGGGAGGGCCGGGAAGGCCCCTATCCTAGTCGGTACGGGCTGCTTCCTCGATCTGCACTGATTTCAGGACAACGATGGTGCCGTCGCGCTACATTACGCCGTGGCTCACGGTGATGTCACGCTCTGTAGAGCTCTAGCCACCAAAGCCACAGTACGGGCTACAGATCGAGCTGGAAATAGTCCGCTCATGAACGCTTGTCAAGGAGACAATGAGGAGGTCTCAAATCAAGTTTTTGCAAAACCTCAAAACCCTCTACCCAGAAAATCAACCATTAACTTTTCAGGTAGTCGAAGAGCTCATAAATCTCGGTGCCAACGTCGAGCAACTATCATTAAACGGTCAAAGTGCATTACGGGTAGCCGCGCTCTCTGGGAACACGAAAATCGTTCGAGTAAGCATCCACCACTTATCTAGGACATTTAACCTTTTGTATTTTTTTGAATTGTTTCAATTTTTATTCTATTAAACAACTAACTGCCATTTTAGCTGCTTGCCGAACATATAACTGACTGGGAACAGCAGGATATGGATGGAACCCCACTTGTACATACTCTACTTATCAATAAACAGGTATGTTGTTTTTGGAGTTTTATATTTCTTACTGCCAGATGGAACGAGTAGCTCTAGAGCCTGACACTCCGACGACATTGGTAAGCCATACGTCTGAATAGGAAAGTAGTAGTACTGACAACAGGGATGCCCATATGAGTCAGATCGCTGCCACATTCCTATAGAGATACTCATACTGATGGTATGTGGATTTGTTGAGATACTATCACTCCACGGCTGACTTCCCCAACCTTCGATGTCGACGATTTTAGAGGAGCTGTCCCTAGGTGATGGCCCGAACTTTGCCCAGGTGGCGACTGTCCCGGTTGTGTAGCGAATTCAGCTAGCCGTGACTTATCATGCTACGGACTGGCAGCACTTCTTCAACCGCCTTCTTCAGCATCTTATGACCATTTCAACTTGCTTATGAAGGCGTTTATAACAGCTTGCAAAAAAAACCGATTTGCAGACAGCCATGGCTGAATTGCTGCTGACACTCGGTGCGTTCATTTCGGCTAGAGATGCTCATGGACGGACATGTGCTCATGTGGTGAGTGTTCTGAGGTATTTCATACGCAGGGGATATAATCAAAATAAAATATTTGAAAAGTATAAGTAAAATTCGAAGTATAAAATAGGTCCATTTTTGTTGCACTCAAGCAAGGGCTCCTTACTGATGTCCCAAGTCATCCGGATGCACTCTAGTCCGTGAGGGCCGAGATTACTTAGGGTTTTGTAAGGGTCGCAAGACTGATACACAACCTGATATTTGATACATGATAGTTTAATTTTGTGCAAAAAAAAA